GAAATTGTTCTAAGGTATACCATTAAATATTTGTGAATAAAACTGGAGAAACAGTTGTCCAAATTATGCCTTCTAAAATTGGTAAAAGCAGAAAGAAAGTGCAGCATTTGGTTCATGACATAATCCCATTCCCCAGGTCAGTGTTGCATTCTGTTTTCTGTACTGATGTGGTCAAGACAGAGGGGGTTCATTCAGCTCTAAATTACTAATATAGCTCTGTTGTTCATCCATCAAGTACAGACCTCACACTTACCCACTGCTTCCCTGGAACCTGTTCTGGGAGTTCTATGTTACATGGGAACAGCTGTCACTCAAAGGGCGAGAGTTCTGCCTGAGGCACAACCGGTCTAGAACAACGAGATCCCAGTTTTGCTTGGTCCATCTTGTTTGTAGAGTGGCTGTTTCATGCCAGGAAGGGCAACCTAAGAGGACCATGGTCTATTGTCTTTCTCCCACATCAACCTGTAGAGTGGGCATATCACTATGATGAAGTTATACTATCTATAGCTCTTATGTAGTGGCACAGATGTGCTATTTGGGGAAATTCATGTCATTAAAAGAGCTCTGTTTGAGTAAACTGACTTTATTTGGTATACATGATGGAGAAGTTTAAAGAATGTTGTTGAAAATGATGATTTTTGTACCAAGCATTTAAGAGTGGGCTGACTCCATGAACCTAATAGCAACAAGCTAATGGAAGACCACCAGAAATTTAACAAAGAGACCAAGGGAAGAAACAGTCAACAAGACTTTTCCTGGATCTTACTCATCATTGTGTGTCTAGAAGTCTATAACCTGTGCTAAAGTGCACCCAATCAATAACAATGGAAGTGTCGTGTTTGGCTGACTTGAAATATTCTCAAATCGCAATGATTGTTTATGAACAAAGGACTGAAGCCTTACTGATTCAAGGAAATTAAGCACATCCTCTAACCAAATCCTAGCTGTATGGAAAGCCACTCTGAATATCAATAAAAACATAAAATCTTAAATACATGCATACATACATACATAGACCCAAATGGAAAATCTTGAGCTGCTAAATATTATAATAACCAAAACAAAACACTTAGTAGAAGAGGTCATCAGAAAATTTCAGCAGGTAGAAAAAATGTAAACCAATTTGACAGGTTATTAAGGATCTCACAATTAGAAAAAAGTGAAGGAAACATGGGAAAGAAATAATATTTGTGTCTCTGAGAAATATTTGTTGACATCTTTTTTCTTTATAAAAATTATGGACACTAGGGTTCCCTTTTCTCCACAACCTCTCCAACACTTGTTGTTTGTTGCTTTGTTTATGATGGTCATTCTGACTGGTGTAAAGTGGTATCTCATTGTGGTTTTAATTTGCATCTCTCTGATAGCTAGCAATATTGAGCATCTTTTCATGTGTCTCTGGATCCTCTGTATGTCCTCCTTGGAGAAGTGTCTGTTCAAGTCCTTTGCCCATTTTTTTAATTGGGTTGCTTGTCTTCTTAGAGTGGAGTCATGTAAGTTCTTTATATTTTTTGGAGATGAAACCCTTGTCTGAGGTATCATTGGCAAATATGTTTTCCCATAAAGTTGGTTCTCTTTTTATTTTAATACTGTTTTCTTTAGCCTTGAAGAAGCTTTTCATTTTGATGAGATCCCATTTGTTGGTGGGATTGCAGACTGGTACAACCACTATGGAAAACAATATGGAATTTTCTCAGAAAACTAAAAATGGATCTGCCTTTTGACCCAGCAATTCCACTGCTAGGATTATATCCTAAGAACTCTGAAACACCAATCCAAAAGAACCTATGCACCCCAATGTTCATAGCAGCACAATTTACAATAGCCAAGTATTGGAAGCAACCTAGATGCCCATCAGTAAATGAATGGATCAAAAAACTATAGTACATTTACACAATGGAATTCTATGCAGCAGAAAGAAAGAAGGAGCTCCTACCCTTTGCAACAGCATGGATGCAACTGGAAAGCATTATGCTAAGTGAAATAAGCCAGGCAGTGAAAGACAAATACCATATGATCTCACCTTTAACAGGAACCTAACAACAAAACAAAAAAACAAGCTAAATATAACCAAAGACACTGAAATAGAGAACAATCTGACAGTGTTCAGAGAGAGGGAAGAGGAGAGGGAATTTTAGGGGAAAAGGGGAAGGGTTTATAGGAAGAAGTATAAAGGACACATGGATAAAAACTAGGGGTGGGTGGAAATGGGGGGAGAGGGGAGGGCTGGGTGGGTGGGTTGGGATGGGAGTAAAAGATAGAAAATTGTACTGCAACAACAATTAAAATAAAAAATTAAAAAAATAAAATAAAAAATTAAAAAGTTATCACAAATTAAAAAAAATTACCAACAAAAGTGTAGAATGTATTTTTATTCTTTTCTTTCTTTTCACTTTCTATAATTCTGCATTACTAGGGGTGTTAGAACATTTGTATATTCTGTAATTTCTGAAGCTCAATATTTATTCTTTTATTTTTTTGTGTACATCAATTAGTGTGGGAATTTTTCCATTGCACTGCTTTCCAGATAAATGATTTTGTATTTTGCCATGTCCAAATTACTGTGCAAACCATTGACTGAATTCTTATACTTTTCATATTTTAGTTTTGAAATATGAAAATTATTTGAAAATGTTCAGTTGATTCTTTTATATATTTTGACTCACTGAAAATATTCTACACATTTTAACATGTTTTGTATACTTATTCTATTTTAAAATGTATTAATCATAATTACTTTTTTAATGCACTCTTGCTCCACCATCTGGATCACCTTCACATTATGGTTTCTCTTTTTCTTTCCTTTTCTTTTTTTTCTTAGTAACAAGTCATACATTTTAATCACATCAACAGGTTAATTGTATGCAGGAAATTGTGTATAAGCAACCAAACAAACTCCAGGTGGCTTCTTTATAAAAATTTTTTTTAACTATTTTTTAAAAGATTTTATTTATTTTTAAAAAGAGGGGGAGGGAGGGAGAAAGAGAGGGAAAGAAACATCAATGTGTGGTTGCCTCTCACATGTCCCTACCTGGGGACCTGGCCCACAACCCAGGCATGTGCCCTCACTGGGAATCAAACCAGTGACCTTGTGGTTTGCAGCCCCTGCTCAATCCACTGAGCTACACTGGCCAGAGTTCCAGGTGGCTTCTTTAGAAAGTTCCCTCTCTTTCTTCTGTATGAGAAGCTGATTGCCTTAGGTCATGAATAGTGCTAGGTGTGACGAGTTTTTATTTTTATTTTTATTTTTTTTTGTGAGGTGAGTTTTTAGTAAATCTGGGGTGAATTCTCCTTTTCTTGTGTTGCTCAGGTGTGGACCTGCTAGACTTTGAATTGTGATTTTATGTGACTGTGTTTTCTCAGCTCTAAAACATTATGGGGGATTCATATCTATCACCTAGAAGTTCACAATGCAACTCTTCAATTGTTTGCCACATGCAACATCAAAATCAGATAAGTGTGTATGAGGAGAGAGTACAGATGCTTGAGATCAGCCTACTTTTCCTATGTCCTGTGTCCAAAATACATCATGATTTTAGGAAACTATGCTTCTGAGAAATTTCAGATTAGCTGTTCAGCCTGCCACAAAGCTCTTAAATTAAGCAGTTGTGACTTTGGGAAAATTGTTGTGAACCTCATAAAATACATAAACACTTTATACAAGGGTGGGGCAAAAGTTGGTTTACAGTAGTTCATATGGAAAATAATAGAATAATTAATGATTAATAAAATAATAAACTCTTTCACATACTCACAACTGTAAACCTACTTTTGCCCCCCCATATCATGCATTGTAATAATATGTGGATTGAAAGTTACTGTCTGTGAAAAGTGAGAGCTGTTAATGAGGCAAGACTGGCATGAATAGTAATAAAAATTTTTCCAGGTTTCCAGTCTCCCTTTAGTTGCCCACAATTGCAGAAACTAATAAGGAGAGGACTGGCAAAGAAGAAATTTGATGTGTGTGTTTGCATTTCCTTTGGGACAAAGCAGAGTACAGATGGGAAGGACGGTTAGGATTGAAACAGCAAATTAAAATCACACAATACACATAACCCAGGATCTGTGCCGTTGCTCACAAACACAAAGAGACTAATTCCATGAACAATTAAACACTAAAATTATTTAAAATAATATAAAGTAGAAATACTCTAGGAATTAGCATATTTGGCCAATTGTTTAATGGCCAATGTTTTATGATCCCAAATGATAAAATATCTTGGGGATTATGTCAATGAACTGTGATACAATTCTGTAACATTTCTACAGCAAGGAGACTAAAACCTGGAACATGGGAAAATTCGGTAAGACTCGGTTTCTTTATTGAAGCTGTATATTGTTGCTTTTCTTTCTACGATGCAATCAGAACATTTTGTTGTTCATCTTTCAGTGAAATTGAACATCTTGCTCTTCTTCCTTAGGTAAAGGCTTGACATTTTGGTCTTCTTACACATGAAGGTGGAACATTTTGCTCTGTTTCAGTTGAAGATGGAACATTTGGCTCTTCATTATTATGTGTTCTTTTGAATTTCATAAAACCCAAAATTAACAAGCATGATACAAAAACAAAATTAATCAGCCAAAGTTCTATCAGGTACATCTTTTTCCCCCCCATTTTGTCACTTTTTCTCCCAGGAGGTGGGCCACTGTCGATACTTCCCCCATAGCCCTTTTGCTGGCAGGTGGGAGGGTCCCACTCACGGCTGCAGTGGCAGTTGTTTCTGTTGTTACAGACCCCATTCATATGGGTCTCAGGTGAACACCCAGTTACCAGGAGGGACAGATGGACACACTTCCTTTTGATGCACACATGGTCTGCACCACACTCTATACCATCTTTCACATCACCAATGTCAGGAATGGCCATCCCCAAGTGGTAGTCGGTACCCCAGCAGGTGATGTCATTGAAGCGAGTCCAATGCACAGTAGAATGATCTCTCAGAAGGGGAATTTCTCTCACATTCTCACACTGCAACCTCCCACACAGGACATCTGACATGTTACACTGCACGTATCTGGAGCCACGGATACCAGTTCCCAAATCGTTCACCATGGGTGTTCATTTTGGTGTAGCAACTCTGATTGGCACTCTTGGCCTCTTTGCCAAAAATGTTCCTACACTGTTCTTCACGGTTATTGCATCTCTTCTCATAGCAGTAGCCACTGTCCTCGCATGGGATCCCATCCTGCACATACACATCTTCTGGACAATGGTTGGATGTCCCATTGCACCACTCTGGGAGATCACATGTGTTTTCCTGTTGTCTACACACTGTGCCTGTTGGCAGGATCTGGCAGTCTTGGCAACAAAGCCCAAAAGCACAGGCAGCCCCCAATCTCAGGGTACAACTTAATTGACAACAGGGATCTTTTATATAGAACTGCAAAGTGCCACAGTCACACTCTTTTCCTCCTTCAACCACACTGTTTCCACACTGTGTAACTGTGAAGATGTTCCCTGTATTTGATAAAATGTAGAAACAATTTCATTTTGCAATGGTGTTCATGAAGTCAGCATAACTGCAGTTGCTGAACCTAGTTGTATCTACTTTGATGGATACATTATGCAGGCCCTATACCTACATTTAAGGTGTTTTCATCATGTTTTATACCCAAATTATGACCAAGTTCATGTGACACAATATATGCAAAATCATGCACATCATCATTCATGAAACTATCAACTCCACAGTTAAAATGAAAGTTACATACTCCTTCAACATAGGCTAAGCCCACAGAAATAACATAGTGCTGCTTTACGAAAACATGTGCAACATCATGGGTTAAGCAGTTATTAAAGCTGTTTTTCTTCCACCTGCAAAATCCCACCAAGAGATCACTTATGTTATTTACTGGAAGGAGGTTTCTTGCATTTGAGACCTCAATTCCCATTAAAACCACATCAACATCCAGTGAGCTCAAGAAGTTATCAATTCCATTGACAACAAGGAATACTTCATACTGCACTTTTGTGGTGTTACTTGCACGATGCATGTATCGATTGTAGTCCACCACCACTGCCAGCTCAAGAAACCGCTTGTGGGTCCACCAGCCTTCATACCCACTCTGCATCAAGGTGAAATTAACAGTCTCTTGAAACTTCAATTGTCGTGCTGTTTCTTCATCTGTCAAGCCACACCTCATGGGTGGGAATTGTGTCTCCTTCCTGTCCACCTTGTATATGAGATGTTCAAACGTGGTAGAATGCCTCTTGGGCTCTATTTCATACACAACGTCATTTGTCTGTAATGTTCTTTGGAAACCCCCCAAACAGGTACAGAGGGTCACCATGGATTCTGGGTCCCCTTCCACATAGCCTTGATAGTAGCAGTCATTCTGGATGAAAGGCTGTTCCAGAAGGAGGGCACCCTGGTTTGTGTAGCTGAACACTTGAAGGTGTCTGGATAGCAAATAGTTATTGACCTTCATGTGGACAATATGTTTCTGGCCCCCAAAATGCATACTGTAAGAGAGCCAACATCCAGGTTTCATGCCCAGACTGATGACTGTTACCTTCAGCGGAATCACCACCCCCAGAGGACCATGGCGTTGGGAGTGCCCAACCTGGGACCATTGGTATAGGAACAGAAACACCCCCAGCCAGAGTGACAGGACAGTGTTCCTTACATGCACCAGGTCCTCATCCATGGCCATTATGGAGCCACCATATACAGCCATTGGTGAGAACAAAATATGATGGGAGGAAGTGTCACTGTTCTGTGTTGTCTCTCTGAGCTGGGTATTCAGCACTGACTTAAAATCTGTTCTCTGGCAAAGTCGCACCATCAGAGTAGCACACTAAAAGAGAAAATAAAAAGAAGAGTATAGATGGGGTAGGGGTTTTGAACAGGCCAAGGTGGAAGAGGAAGAAAAACATACAGATTAAAATGGTTTAGCGTTTGGCTCAAGACATGACTCAGAATACTGCATGCATTTGCCCTTATGGAATGGTAAGACAGTGTGAGACTGCGGGTGTATGAAAAATGGTGATTAGTCATAGACTGACACTTTTTGAATCTAGATGAATGGCACATAGTGATTAATGACACTGTTCTTTAAATACCTGAACATGTGTGAACATTTTCACAATAAATGTATAAAACAGGAAGTTTTAATGGAGAGGTAAACATATGTTTTAAGAGGGAGTCTCTTTATACATATTGATTTGGTATACATAATATATAGTTTTTTCTTTCAATTTTCTTTTTCTACCATTATTATTTTGAAACCACTTTTATTTTTCAATTATGATTGACAAACAATATTATATTAGTTTCAGGTGTACACCTCAGTGATTAGACCTTATATAACTTACTAAGTAACCATCCCAATAAATCTTGTACTCATATGACACCATACAAAGTTATTAGAATATTATTGATTATAGTCACTGTGCTGTACTTTATATCCCAATGGCTATTCTATTACTACCAATTTGTACTTTTTTTAATCCCTTTGCCTTTTTCACCCAACCCCCTCCCATCTGGCAACCATCAAAATGTTCTTTGTTGTTGGGGGGGGGGTGGTCACAAGATGGTGGCAGAGTAGGAGAATCTTTCTCACAGCTCCTCCCAGAACCAAAAGAGAAGTAAAAAAAAGAGAAGGAAACAGCTATCTGAAGTAACCAGTCGAAGACTACCCGAAGAGGAGACTTTTAACCAAGGGCGAGCAGAAACCGCCTTGAGACCAGTAGGAAGAGTGGAGATGCGAAAGGGGCCGGCCCATTCCCAGGGGTGGCAGGCTGAGCTGATGGCGTGGCTGTGGGAGCTTCTGCCTGAGGGGAGTGAAGCCTGAACCCCAGACTGGGCTTCCTTGCTGGGCTGCCAGAGCTGGAATCAGCTGCCCTCATAGCATCCGGCGGTGAAAGGCCATGGGACTTCTGTCTTTCCCGGAGAGACAGAGCCCTCTGGAGACAAAGCCACTATTTTTTTTAAGGGGCCAAAGCACAGATTTTTCATTTGCAGCCATTCACCTTGGGGTCTGGTGAAGAGAGGGTGGTGTGGACTAGAGTAGCCTGAGGAGAGTCTGGAGCAGGGAGCACTGGGGGAGGTTGCAGGGGTGGTTGCTGGGATCCCTGTGCCGGGACATCACCCAGTACTGCAGCGGCCATTTTCCTGAGAGGAGCAAGCCCCTACTATGGGCAAAACAATTATTCCACTCTCTGGGATACAGCTTGTCCCTACCCTCTGGAATTCTGCTCACCCCACCTGGCATCTTTTCAATTTATTTTTTCCTCCAACCTGCATCTTAACCCCTGATGAGGAGACAGAAATATAGGCAGAATCATGGAGTATCAGAGACTGACTTTAGGGCGTGGTCATTCCAGATACTTCCCTGGGAACCAAGCTAGTGCTTCCCCCTCATGGGAGAGCCATGGAAATACTTTTCTGGTTTCCAAAAGACCCACTCTGGGTTCTGGAGTCAGACTCAGTTGTGTGGTTCAGGGGTGGAAGAAGACACCTGCCATCTTCCTTGAAGTCTGAACAACATTTCCTCCTCCATGAGAGATCCAGGGGTCCTATCCTCTCCATTCTACCAGAAACCCTCTCAGAAAGTTGTGCCAGTGACTAAGACTGACAGCAGACTGGTAGGCAGAAGCAGGTAAAGGTGGATCCTTGGGACATTTGCTGATCTATCCCTGGGCCCCCATGCTGATAAAAGCTGACCTTAAAGCACAGCTTGGCCCATTCCATGCACAGTCAAGCCTGGAGGGGACAGCCACAGACGGTGGATCACCTGTAGCTTCAAACAGGCTGCCGAGGGCTAGACAGGGTCAACATTTGACATTGGCTTACACCAGATTCAGACAACATCAGAGCTGTATCCAAAGAGAGAACCCAGCAGGCAGGCACTAAACACTGCTGAGACAAATTCCACTTTGTTCTTTTTCATTATTTTTCTTTTTCATAGCCTTTTAATATTTTTTAATTTTCTTTTTCTTCATTTTTCTTTCATATCTCTTATTTTACTACTTTTTCTTATTCTATTTTTCTTCTTTCCTTTTCTTATTTTTTTATTCTTTCTTTTACATTGTTCTTTTTTGGGAGGCAGTATTTTCCTCTTTCTATTCCTTACTTTTATTGTTTCTCTTCCTTCTCTCCTCTCATAATCATTTTTCTTTCCTTGGTCTTCTTGTGTTCTTTTTAAAATTTTACTATTCTATTTCTCTTTTCTTATTCTGTGCTATTTTGTCATTGATTTTGCTGATGTTGGGGGGATTGCTTGTTTTTTGTGTGTGTTGTTTTGTTTTGTTCTGTCAACACCTGTAGAACAGTGTACAAGCTGTCATTGGGATTGAGCCTCTCAGTCAGCCAGTTGGAAGGGAGATCCCATCAACAAAATGTCCAACACCAATCAAGACCCAAATACAATAGGAGAGCCCACATAGCCCATGCAAGGAACATTCCTAGACCATCCAGCTCAGAGATCAAGGTGACTGCATCAACTGGGTCCCACAGGACTCTTATCACACTAGGCTACCCCACAAAGACAGAGTCAAAGTGTACAAGCTGTATTTATGTATCTAATACATAGATCTATGTATCTATGTATCTAATACATAGAAACAAAAGAGACAGTTAAAATGGGGAAGCAAAGAAACAACCCTCCAACAACAAAAAAGGAATATCCAGAAAAAAAATTGACGGAAGCAATTTATCAGACAGAGTTCAAATAAATGGTTATAAGAATGCTCAAGGAACTTAATGGAAACTATGTCAGCATGTCAAAGGGCATAGAAAGTATGAATAAAAACCAGTGGGAAGTAAGAATGTAATATCTGAAATGAAGACTACACTAGTAGGAATTCAAAGCAGGCTTGATGAAGCAGAGGATTGAATCAGTGATTTGGAAGACAAAGTAGAAAAAAATGTTCACTGTTGAGTTTTTTTCCTGTTCTGCTTCTTTATTTTGTTTTTAAAAATTCACTTGCTCATAGATGTGTTTATTGCCACTTTATTGTTCATTTTTAAAATCTTTTTTTCTTTTCTTTTTTTTCTTGAAGACGCTTTAACATTTCCTGTAGTACTAGTTTGGTGGTGATGAACTCATTTAGCTTTTTCATATCTGGGAAACTGTTTATGTGTCCTTCAATTCTAAATGAGAGCTTTGCTGAGTAATCTTGGTTGTAAGTCCTTTCTTTTAATCACTTTGAGTATTTCTTTTTTTTTTTTAAAGATTTTATTTATTTATTTTTTAGGGAGGAAAGGGAGAGGGAGAGAGAGAGAGAGAGAGAGAGAGAGAGAGAGAGAGAAACATCAATGTGCAGTTGCTGGGGGTTATGGCCTGCAACCCAGGAATGTACCCTAGCTGGGAATCGAACCTGGGACACTTTGGTTCCCAGCCCGTGCTCAATCCACTGAACTACGCCAGCCAGGGCTACTTTGAGTATTTCTTGCCAATCCTTTCTGGCCTGAAAAGTTTCTGTTGAGAAATCAGGTGAAAGACTTATGGGAGCTCCCTTGAAGGTAAGTAACTGCTTTTCTCTTGTTTTTAAGGTTCTCTCTTTGCCTTTAACCTTCTGCATTTTACTTATGATGTGTCTTGGTGTGGGCCTCTTTGGGTTCATCTTGTTTAGGTTTTTCTCTGCTTCCTGGACTTGTATATCTATTTCCTTCACCGGGTTAAGGAAGTTTTCTGTCATTTTTTAAAATAGTTTTCATGTTCTTGCTCTCTTCTCTGGGCCTGGGGCCACTTAGCAAGAAGTATGGGACATGCCAGTGTCAAATGTTTGTATGAGAGATTTTAGGGAAGTCTGAAGCATGAGCCAAGGCTGGTTATTTGTATAGAAAAGCCACTGGAAACACCTTGGGTGGGTCTGAAAGTTGTTGGAGTGGGGTCTCAGAAAATCATAGGGTGGGGTGAAGAGTGATAGCCAGGTAGCTGAAGACTCAGACATGGCACCTGCATGCCAGCTCTGTGGGAGAAGGGCTCAGAAAAGGAATACTTGCCTCTGTCAGGACTTCTGAGAGAAAGCTGCCCTGCTAGCTCTCACCCTGATGTCAGACACTTTAGTTCCTCCCTGTATATTCCTGGGCCTTTTGGGCTGTTGCCTCAGCTCTGGAATTTAGAGGGAATAAGTTCAAGTAAGTCTGTGCTCAGGCCCTTTGGGAGGAACTTCCTGGGACTCCAGAAGCCCTCCACCTCACTCAGCCACTATCTCCTCTGGTTTTTACACCAATAAGTTAGGGGAACTTCTCTTCCCAACACTGGAACCCTAGGCTATATAGGGAACCTGGTGTGGGTCTGGACCCCTCACTTTTCAGGGGTGTCCTCCACAGCTGAGATATTCTTCCCAATTTTTATGCACCACATGTAGGTGTGAGACAAACCTGTTCAATGTCTCTACCCCTCCTAACAGTCTCATGTGGCTTCTTCTTTATATCCTTAGTTTTATGACTTCCATTAAGCTATATTTCAGGTGGTTCTGAATGATGGATGTTCCATAGTTTAGTTGTATTTTTTATTTTTTTATTAAAAACTTTTTATTGTTATTATATTACAGTTGTCTCAATCCCACCCCACTCCCACACTTTGCTCTCCTCCATCCAGCCCAACCCCTACTCCTGAAGTCAATCCCACACTGTTGTCCATGTCCATGGGTCATTCATACATGTTCTTTGATAGTCCCTTCCCCTTCTTTCCACCATTATGCCCCTCCAAAATTCCCCCTGTTCACC